GCCTGTCCTGGAACTAACTCTTGTAGACCAGACTGGCCTCAAACTCATGGCGATCCACCTGCCTCTGCCTCCTGAGTGCTGCGATTAAAGGCATGTGCCATCACTGCCCGGCCTTAAAGGCTAATTTTTTTACTTTTAAAAACATCATGAAGATACTTGAAAAGAGAAATGACAGACTAGGGTAAAATATTCTTAAAGCGTAATTCTCATGAAAGATTTATGTATAGGATATATAAAATGCCTTAAAAATGAAATAATGAGAAGACTTAACTAAAAATCATGTGATTGTTGGGAGCTGTGAACCCCCAGATCCTGAATTTCTTGTAAACAACTTGTTTTCCCCTGATCTGAGTGCCTGCAGCTGCTCTGAGAATGAGACCCTCAGGAGTTCCTAATGGCAGGGGAGTGGTTTCTTGTGTATGGCTGGAGCATGGCTATCCCTATATAAGCTGCCCCTGGACACAATAAAGGGGGCATTGTTGGGGCATTCCTGTTTCAAGGATGACCCGTGTCTCTGTCTGTGTGTCTTTGTGTGTTTCAATCTTCAGCCCCTTGTCCGGTTCACGAATTGTATGGTAGCGCATAGAGCACAGACGGGCGTCGGGTGCTACCTGTGATAATTAATCTTTATTAATAGTGGGATTTACAGGCACCTAGGAGATACACCTCTGGGCGTGTCTGTTTCCAGAGAGGGTTAATTGAGGAAGGAACCCTCCCCTGGAATGTGAATGGCACCATCCTGTGACCTGATCCTGGACTATAAAGAAGGGAGCAGAACACATACATTTCTTTCTGCTTCTGGCACTGTGTCATGTGACTGACAGCTCACTGTCCTGCTGCCGTAGCTAGGGCCGCTTTTGCTGCTGTACCCTCCCTGTTCCCGATGCGGTGTCCTCTTAGACTGTGAGCCAAAGCATGCCTTTCCTTTCTTCGGTCACTTCTGTCAGATGTTTGTCACAGCCCTGGTGAAATGATTTGTCAAGACACTTCATTTAAGACTAACTAGGAAGCCGGGCAGTGGTGTCACATGCCTTTAATTCCAGCACTCCGGAGGCAGAGGCAGTGAATCTCTGTGAGTTCGAGGCTAGTCCGGTCTCCAAGAGCTAGTTCCAGGACAGGCTCCAAAGCTACAAACAAAACAAAACAAAACAAAACCCTGTCTCAGAAAGACCAAAAAGGAAAAAAAAAAAGTCTATATCAGGAACGATGCTTAACTTGCTGGTTATTAGTGAAATGTAATTAAAACATAATGAGCTACCAAGACATGCCTACTAGAATACATAAAAACCAGGGGCTGGAGACGGCTCAGTGGTTAAGAGCATCTACTGCTCTTCCAGAGGACCCAGGTTCTTCAATTCCCAGCACCCACCTGACAGCTTACAACTGTCTATAAATCCAGTTCCAGAGGACCTGATACCCATGGCAAAACACCAATGAACATAAAATAAAAATAAATAAACTAAAAAAAAATACACAGAAATGAAAGAGACTGACTTTACTGGTGTTGACAAGGCAGAAGGTATGTATTCATCTGGATGCAGTCCTGGCAAGAGCGTAAAATGACTCAGCCACCTTTTTGCTTTTCAGTTTTTACATAAACAGAAAAAGAGTGCCATCGTGACGTCTTCTCACATGTGTGTCCAGTCCTTTCCACATTCTCCTTTGCCACTATCACTTCTTTCCTGCCACCTCCTGTTGGTACAACCACTGTGGAAAGCAGTTTCTACAAGGACTTGGTGTCCATCTCTTGTGTTCTATAGCCGTTCCATTCCGAGTTATATACCTGCAAGGGGAGAAAGCGAGGAAGCAGTTTGTGTGACTGCTCACACACACAGCTGTGTTTCTGGATCTGAGACCCAGAGGTAACACGAGTGACCATTTATAGAGGGCTGAATGAACAGGCAGGGGCAGCCAAGAGGCTCTGTCGAGAACGTGCAGTCTGTTTCTGCACTTCATCTTCACGGCAGGATGTTTAGGAGACACATTCCAGCCTTCTTCCATCACTTTCGGATACTTCCCTGTCTCTTTCTCTCTGTCCCTGTTTTTCTCTATCTCTATTTCTCTGTCTCTGATTCTCTCAGTGTCTCTGTCTCTCCCAGTGTGTGTGTGTGTGGTGTGTGTGTGTGTGTACGTACACATGTGTGCCACTGCATGAGCGTGGACGTCAGAAGACAACTTGCAAAAGTTGGGTCTCTCCCCATATGAGTCCTGAAGACTGAACTCAGGTCATCAGGTTTCATAGCAACTGACTTAATTCACTGAGCTGTCTCACCATCCCTACTCTTAGTATCGATCTCTCTGAATTCTTGGAGCATCCTGGATGTGTTCATGAGATTCCATTACCGCACCTAGGTTGCCTTTTCCTTTGTGACTTCTCATCGTGACCTCCTTAGCCTGGGCGCATGTGTTTCTTCTCAGGACTTCTCCCTCAGAGTACGGTGGTCTTGTCTGTCTTACTGTAATTCTTAACATGAAAACATGACAGATAACACATTTATGAATGTGTATGCTTAGAAATAGTCATTCCTCAAAGGCAGGAGATGCCTACTCTGTAGATCTTTCTCCCCTGTGGGGTGCTGAGAATCAAATCGAGAGCCTGCTAGCTATGATCCTTAATCTTGATTGTTAACTTGATGGGGCTTACATTCACTGTGGAAGCAACCTGGGCATGTCTGGGAGGGAGTCTTTAGATTGGGTTTATTGAGGTTCAAAGAAACACTCTAAGTGAAGGTTTAGAACTGAATAAAAAGAAGGCAAGCTCCGCACCAGCCTCCCTCTGCTTCCTGACCTCCCGTCAGGACCAGGCGTTTTAAGCTCCTGCCTCCAGGGCGTACTGACATGATGGACTGTACCCTTGCACTGTGATCCAAAATAAACACTATTTCTTTCTTTTATAAAAATTTATTTTTATTTTATGTACATTGGTGTTTTGTCTGCGTGTGTGTCTCTGTGTGAGGGTGTCAGATCTTGAATTTACATATAGTTATAAGCTGCCATGTGGGTGCTGGGAATTGAACCCGAGTCTTCTGGAAGCGATGAGTGCTCTCATCCTCTGAGCCATCTCTCCAGCCCAGCCCTCCATTTCTTTAGTTGCCTTTGCCAGCTAGTTTCCTGCAGCTGTAAGACAAGGGACGACTGCACTGGCTGAGCTCTGAGCTCCAGTCCTAGTTCTTCCTTCTCTTTTGTCTTCTTTTTACATTTTTTATTTGTTTTTGTTTTTCAAGGCTGGGTTTCTCTGTGCAATTCTAGCTGTCCTGGAACTCACTCTGTAGACCAAGCCAGTCTCCAACTCAGAGATCCGCCTGCCTCAGCCTCCTGAGCACTGGGATTAAAAGGCATGTGCCACCATCGCCTGGGAACATCTTTTATTATTTATGACATTATATGAATTGACTCTTATTAAGCTGAACAAATGTTCCATTTCAGTAATAATACCAATGACTATAACTCAGATGCGTTTCTGGGTTAATGGGGCAAGAGCTCTTCCCTGCTGCTCTCACAAACACCTGGCAAAAGCGACCTCAGGGAGAAGTGGTTTCTCTTCACACGCGGCAGGCAACACCTGGCCCCACCGCATCCAAAGACAGGCAGGAGAGAATGAAGAATGGGTACTTCTGCTCAGCTTATGTCCCCCACCCTCTCCAGGATCCCAGCCAGGAAGTGGCACTTGTCCCACCTCAGGTACTGAGGTGACAATGGCCCCCTACAGGCATGCCCAGAGCCTGGTCCCCTAGGTGACTCTAGTTCTGTCAAGTTGATTCAACAATAATCATGTGTACTGTTAGCTAGAGATTTTTTCCCCCTAGTTTCCTTATTTTTGAGACAGGGACTTATGGTGTAGCCCAGGCTAGCATCAGACTGAGAAGCCTCTTGCTGCCGTCTCCCTAGTGCTGGAATCACAGGTGTCCACCGCTACACCTAACTTTCTTTCTGCTTTCTTGCCTGCCTGCCCACCCATCTGCCTGGGTGCTGGGATTACAAGTGTGAGGTCGAATACAATTCTATTTTATCTTTATAGTATATACAAAGGAAACTATTCATTCCTAAATAGATATTTAGGTTGTTGCAGATCTCTTTTATTTTGGCTTTGTCTCACCTAGCTCAGACTGGCCTTGAACTCCTGATCCTCCTGCTTCTACCTTCCTCCTGAGTGCTGGGATTGTAGGTATAGGTATGTGGTTCTCTACATTGCTGAAAATATGACGTGGTATTAATATCTCTTTGAGATTATCTATCTATCTATCTATCTTGTATCATCTGTATGTCTGTATTGATGTGGGGTGTGTGTGTGTGTATACCACAGTGCATGTGTGGAGGGCAGAGTCCACATTTGTCTCCTTTTGTCTTTATTTACATGGGTTCCAAGGATCAAACTCAGATCAGGCTCACAAAAGCAGGTGTCCTTTCCTGTTGAGCGTTCTTGCCAGGCCAAGATCCTACTTGCAGTGCCTTTAGATTTACCAAGCAATGGGGTCGTTGGATAAAAGGGTAGTTCTAGCTTTAAGGTTTTACCATTCCCATGCCGTTTTCCAGGGCCTGCTATCATTCTCACCAGCAATGCAGTTTCCCTTGTACTTGCTGTTTTCTGTTGCTTTATAATAGCTCTGCTGATTGGCTCTGGTAAGGCAGTGGCTTCTGCTGCTCTTTCCTCCTCTTCTCTTCCTCCTCCTTCTACCCCTTTCCTTCCTCTCCCCCTCCTCATCCTCATAGAGTCTCTATATGCAGCTCAAGCTGGTCTCAAATTTGGGATCCTCTTGCCTTTACCCCCCAAGTGCTAGGGTTGAAGGTGTATGCCACGACACTCACCTATCCAAGCATCTTTGCATATAGCTGTTGGCTATTAGTGTGTCTCCTTTAGAGAAATGTCTGCTTTTAAATTGGACTGTCATTTCTTTTTGTTGTTGTTGTTGTTATTGCATTATGGAAGTTCCTTACATGGTTTAGAAATTAACCCCTGACCAGAGACACAAGTGACAAATATTTTCTCTTTTTCCTCATAGGCTCCCTTTAGCGATTCTTAACATAGTCCATGGCCATTACAACATCAAAGAGTCCTGAGCCAAATGCTCCTCGACAGGAAACTGGGTAAGTAGATCTCAATCCATGCATATAATGCAGTTACTTGTGTGAGTTTAGAAGACAGATGGCTCTGAGCAGATCAGTGTGGAGATACATAAATAAATGCAACGTTGAGCAAAATGAGCTGTTTTTTTTTTTTTTTAAAAAAAACACATTTATTTTATGTGCATTGATGTTTTGCCTGCATGTATGTCTGTGTGAGGGTGTCAGATCCCCTGGAACTGGGGTTACAGGCAGTTGTGAATTACCATGTGTGTGTTAGGAATTGAACCTGGGTCCTCTACAAGAGCAGCCTGTGCTCTTAGCCACTGAACCATCTCTCCAGTCCCAAATGAGAAGATTTTTTTTTTTTTTTTTGGTTTTTCGAGACAGGGTTTCTCTGTGGTTTTGGAGCCTGTCCTGGAACTAGCTCTTGTAGACCAGGCTGGTCTCGAACTCACAGAGATCCGCCTGCCTCTGCCTCCCAAGTGCTGGGATTAAAGGCGTGCGCCACCACCGCCCGGCCAAATGAGAAGATTTAAAACCATGGAATATGGCAGGGCTGTGGGGTGTTCACCTGGAATGAGTGACGCTGTGGATTTTGTCCCCAATATTAGAAAATGACAAAAACCAACCCAAAATTCCTACAGAATAAGATTCTGATTTCAAGAAACAAAAATTTATAGATATGGATATGTGCTATTGTTTGTTTTGTATTTGAGAAAGCCTTGTTATGAAGTCCAGCTGGCCTAGAACTGCTACCAGTCTCTTGCCTCAGCTTCTGTGTGCCCAATTACAAGTGGGCAGACATCTGGTGCACACTTGGGAGCACACACACACATACATACACACACACACACAGAGTCACACACTGTATTGATGTATTCTTTCTTTTTTTTCCTTCCGAGACAGGCTTTTTCTGTAGCTTTGGAACCTGTCCTGGAACTTGCTCTGTAAACCAGGCTGACCTTGATCTCCCAGAGATCCACCTGTCTCTGCCTCTTGAGTGCTGGGATTAAAGACGTGCGCCACCACAGTCCAGCATTGATATATTCTTAAGCAAACCTAGAGCTATGGGTGTAGCTCAGTGGTGGAGTGCTTGTTCTACATGCATGAGGCCCTGGACCTCAGAAGGGAGAATCAAAACCGACAGCAATTTCTTAGACCCAGAAAGACCTGGGGCATTAGAACATGCTGGAGGAATCTTTGCTTTCATTCTCATGTGGTGGATTTGACTGTTCGATATGAGCTTGCTTTGCTTCTGTAATTTAAAAAGCACCAAGGAAATGAGGAAAACATATCTGACTGGGAAGATTACTGTATAAATGTATTTCAGACGTCTTGAAAAACGCGATTCTTAGGCTGATTATGCCATTGTGGATTTTGGTAGCATCTTCCTAAAAAATGTCACTTTCACTTTTCTGGTCTTGTTTTTACCTTCAAATATCCTTTTAGAGGCAGAGTACACAGAGACCTATGTCCAAGGAAGCAAGACACAGTGTCCACTAAGTCAGAGGCCATAGACTGAGGTTTCCTTCCCATGACTTCCAGCCCAGGGTACATACTAGAAAAGCCCGGTTTCAAGCAGATGGGAAAGGTAGCTGATGAGCTTTGGAGGCATAGATTCCTTTTGACTCCTGGCTTTATCAGCTACAAGCTGTGTGATCTTGGGCACGATTTTTTGTTAGGTTTTTGAGAAACCAAAGAAACTTAGAACTCTGTATATAGTACGGTCTAGCCTTGAACACAGAGATCTACCTGCCTCTGCCTTCCAAGTGCTGAGATTAAAGGCGTGAGCCACCGTGGACTGGCTGGCTTGGGAAGATTCATTACCTCCCTTTTTGAGTGTGGGTTCCTCATCACCCTCGGAAGTGGTTTAGTTACAGCAGTATTATCGGATTATTGAGAGGTATAAATGTGAAGCGCCCCAAAGACAGTGATTCCTAACTGTTTGTTTTTGTTTCTCTGGGGATGGACAGCCCAGCAGCTGGAAGAAATTAGGGTAGATTAAAGGAGTCAAACGAGGAAAGGAAGAGTTTAATACAGATTGGAGATACAATTCCATTTCCTAGTCACTGTCTCCCTCCGCCTTCTCCCTCCCTTTTTTTTCTCCTTTTAATTAAGCCTCCTGTTGTTAAGTGCTAGCAGATGTGTAAGTGGTAGCTCAGTAGGAACTGAAGGAAGGGCCTGAGGCAATGCTTTGCAGTATGTGGAAGGATGGGGGGCTTGCATGGACTGGTGAGAAACAATCACAGAACAAGGGACCGGTTTGTTCTTTGTAGAGCTGCATCCACTCAGAAAGCCAGGGCCTCTCAGATAACCCTTCAGCTGTGGGTTGCCTGACTCGTTATGAAAATACCCAGCCATGGCTAACCCTAAGGAACCCATAGCCCAACTACTATCACAGTAGCCCTAAGGCCCAAAACTCTGGGAATTTCTGAGCAGAGTCAGACTTTTCTCCTGATTTCTTTGTGCCCAGAATGTCTCTGACCAAAGGTGCTGACTACGAAGGCATCCCGAGCTTTTCCACCTGCCTGGCAGAAAATCTCCAGGGTGAGTCCTGTGTGTGCATGTGTGTGCATGTGAGAGGAGGGAGAAGGAGGGAGGAAAGCAGACAGAGGCTGGGAGGGAGAGGGGAGGAAAGTGGCCATGGGCGTGCCTTGGAGAGTACCTAGCATCCCACGTAGGTCTGCATAATGTAAATATCAGATATCCAGGATATCTGATATGTGATCCCTGTGATAGGGTCATCGAGCCCCAAAAGGGTTGAGGCCACAAGGTTGAGAAAGAACTGTTCTACACCGCACTTGCAAAGTAACAATGATATCTTACTTAGTCAGTGTCCTGTAGTTGCGAAGAGACACTATGATCATGGCAGCTCTTAGAAGGGAATGCATTTAAAGGCTGGCTTATAGTTTCAGAGGTTTAGTCGTCATGGCAGGGAGCTTGGTTGCATGCAGGCAGACATGGCTCTGAAGATGTTCAGAGTTCAACATCCCGATCTGCAGGCAACAGGGAGAGATGGACCCTGGGCCTGACTTGGGCTTTTGAAACCCCAGAGCACGTGCTCAGTGACACACTTCCTCCAACAAGGCCACACCTACTTCAATAAGACCACACCTCCTAATCCCTCTCAAGGGGTGCCACTCACTAATGACCAAGCATTCAAATATATGAAATACATGAGCCTGTGGGAGCAATTTTTGTTCACGCCACCACAGATGGTAATAGTTAAAAAAGTATAGTGTTTCCATGTGCTAGACACTGTTCAACACACACACACACACACACACACACACACAGTTATGTATTTTGGTTTTTTTTGTTTTTTGTCACACACATTTATGTATTTTGGTTTTTGTTTTTTGAGACAAGATTTCTCTGTAGCTTTGGTGCCTGTCCTGGAACTTACTCTTGTAGTCCAGGCTGGCCTCAAACTCACAGAGATCCACCTGCCTCTGCCTCTCGAGTGCTGGGATTAAAGGCATGTGCCACCGCCGCCTAGCTATATGTATGTTTTTAAATTCTTTTTTAAAATAAAGTATATTTATCCTAGGTGTTTTTCACATCATGTATTTTGATCTCCTTCATTAGGGAATGAATCCCTTTGAATCTGCCCTCTGCCCCTGAACTCCCCCCACCCCAATAAAACAAAATCCAAGAGAAACAAAGGAAGAAAATAAAATGAGAAAAATAAAACAAAAAAAAAAAGAGGAAGGAATTAAAAATCTCTTCATGAGCTGGGCGGTGGTGGCACACGCCTTTAATCCCAGCACTCAGGAGGCAGAGGCAGGTGAATCTCTGTGAGTTCGAGGCCAGCCTGGTCTATAAGAGCTAGTTCCAGGACAGGCTCCAAAACCACAGAGAAACCCTGTCTCGAAAAACCAAAAAACCAAAAAAAAAAAAAAAAAAAAAAAAAAAAAATCTCTTCATGGAAGCTGCAATGTGACCCAACAAGTCACACCGTATACCCCTTGGTCCATACATGTCTACTTGCAAGTGTTCATTGATCTGGTCCGAGGCCCCTGGTCTCCATGATATAACTGATGCCTGGGCCCCCACTAGGATTCTTCCTGGACATTGCGCTGGTACCCTATGCTGTGGAGATCCTGCAGCTTTTGGTCTGAGGGTCAGGTTCCTTCATGTGCTCCAGCAGATCATAGATGGGGTAGATGTTGGGGCAGGCCAAGTCATCACCCTGGGTCTGGCCTTGTTCAGCTGTAGGGTTGGTCTGCCAGATGGGAAATGGGGACAGCTTTCCCATGGTCACAATTTCGGACCTGTGCTAACCATGTTGGCTCCATGGTGCTGTCCTGGCGAGGTGGGGGGTCTGCTCTCCCAGGTGTTGCAGTTGGTGGGGGTCAGGGATCAGGGATGGCCCTCCTGCTCTTAGGATCACCGGATCAGCTCTCCCACCTGCCCCACATGTTGATTGGGGGGAAATCCCGGGGGGGGGGGAATCCCTACCCTGCCCAAGTGGGAGAGCCATCCCTGCCCCCCACCAGCTGCAACATTCTGAGGAGCAGGCCCTGCACCTTGCCAGGACAGCAGCCATGAGTCAGATGAGGGGTAGGGCTAGGTCTTCCACACTCCTGTCCTGAGGGTTGGCTCACCTATGCTTTCATCAACAGGGTCATCTCTGCTGTGCTGCCCAGATAAAGTACCAGGCTGGCCTTCCTGTGTGTTGCCACTGGCCAAGGGGTCAGCTCCTTCACCATCTTGACCCACTCCCTTCCTCTCCTGCTTTAAATTTGCCTCTGTCCATAGGTCTGAGCCATTCTCTCTCTCTCTTTACTGTTCCTCTGTTCACTGTAACAGTGGCCTTCTGGCTGGTGCTGCAAGCTACCAGGTAGGCCTGTGTTTTCTCTTTGAAGCCTGGGGTGGGCAGCCAGCCTGTGTGTAGGTCTCCCAGTCTTGTTCAGGTCACTGTGACACAAGACTAGGCCATGCTTTCTCATCACAAGGAGATTCTTACAGTGCCCTGGTTGGTGTGGTTGGCTGCTTTCTGTCCACCCCAGCCAAATGACATGAGTGGGGGCCTGACTGTAGTTCCACTGTGGACCAGTGTTAGAATCCCATGTTCCTGCAGACCCCAGAATCTGGGGGAACGTCTCCCCGCCCCACTTTTTTTTATCTTTACAGTAGTCCTGGAAGCAAAATATCTTTTTTTTTTTTGATTTTTTGAGACAGGGTTTCTCCATAGCTTTTGGTTCCTGTCCTGGAACTAGCTCTTGTAGACCTGGCCTCGAACTCACAGAGATCCGCCTGCCTCTGCCTCCCGAGTGCTGGGATTAAAGGCGTGCGCCACCACCACCTGGCTGCAAAATATCATTTTTTTCCAGATGGGAAACATGAGACATGAAAAGATTAAATAAAATACCCAAAGTCGCTAGTAAAAACAACGAAAGCCTGAGGTTAAAGAACTGGCTGAGCTTGAGGGTCCGCAGTGTTCGTTGTAGCGCCCGATTATTGCCCCTCAAACTTCTGAGCCTGCATTTAAAAGTGGGAGCTATGCTGGCATCCGAGAGGGCTGACTTCTCTTGAGATTTCGGCAAAGGACAGGGTGCGGTCCCTATCACACATTTGCACACATTTGCCTGGTGCCCTGTCTGGCCAGCGCCTGAGTAGAGCAATGCACCTCAGTCTCCACTAGTCCCCTCAATCCTGATCAAGTCCCGCTCACTTTACCTAGTAACCCATTTTTTTTTCCTATGTGTGTTTGTATTGAATCTGGGCATTGAACTTGGAGCGTCATGTCCCACCAACGCACATTTCAGCTCTGCTCCTTTAATCTTCAGTTTCTGGGCCTGCCTTCCTTCCTTTCTTCCTTCCTTCCTTCCTTCCTTCCTTCCTTCCTTCCTTCCTTCCTTATAGTCCTGGCTGTCCTGGAACTCTCTCTGTAGACCAGGCTCCCCTCTAATTTAAAAGGATCCACCTGCCTATGATTCCCGGGTGCTGGAGTTAACCGCGTGCACCACCACCGCCCGGCTCCCCCTCTATGCACGCACCACCATCGCCTAGCTCCTCCTCTAGATTTTTAGAAAAATGGAGAGTACATTACTGTCCCCCTGCTAAGCAGTGACATATCTCTCACTGTGACTTCAGCCTCATTTTTAGTGTGAAGGGGAGGGAATCTGGACCAGGCCCTGTTCCCTTCTGAACTTGGCTGTGTCCTGGGGCTGTCCTTTTGGTATTGCTTTATTTCCTACTGTGTGGTTTGGGGAGATTCTGCTAGAAGGCCAGTTAGAGACTGTGGTGGTCAAATTAGCCAGCCATGCAGAAGGCATCCAAAGAGAGTGCCAAATAGCCAAACTACAGCTACAGGGCGCTTTTGGTGAAGGCTCTGGCCAGAGAGACGTCACCCAGGTTTTTTGTCTTACTGTGTAGCCCAGGTCAGCCTCAAACTCTCCACCTCATCGCTTCTGTTTCCTGTGGGCTGGGGTTGCAGGTTGGCACAATCACAGTCAGCTCTGGTGAAAAATGAATTTTTATTATATTTTGAGACAAAGTCTCATTGTGTATCTCTGACTAGCCTTTTACTAGCAGATCAGGCTGGCCTGGAACTCAGAGATCCACTTGCCTCTGCCTACTGAGTGCTGGGAGTGAAAGACTGATAAAAATTTGAGCATTCTGTTAGCAGCTAGAAGTTAAAAAAGTTTTGAGTCTGTGAGATGGCCCAGTCTGACCCACACACAAGGTGGAGAGAGAGAACCAGCTCTTTCAGGATGTCCTTTGCCTGTGCACACACACAGAATAAATGTAAATTTTAAAAACTAAAAATTTTAACAGTTTTATTAAAAAATTATACTTGGAGAAAATGCCTTGCTTTTTCTAGCTGGGATCACCAAAGGTTTTTTTTTTTTTTTTTTTTTTTTTTTTTTTTTTTTTTATGTCTTTCTTTTCATTGTTACAGTCATTGTAAGAAAATTGTACAGTTTTATCCGATTTTTCTGCTAAGTTTGAACACCCCTAATATTCTCCTTAAGTGGTTTGGGAGATGGAGCAAGAGGTAGTAGGGCAGCTGAGGAAGGGGCCTTTGTCTTGTCTATTGTCCCACCAGGTGAGTTGGGGGCCTGAGCTCCAAGGAGCTTTTGTGTTTCCAGCTGTGCCAGGGGATTAGAGGCTTAGGCTGACCTCGGGAGTGGGTTTTATTGTTACATCTTCTGAGACTGAAGCCATAATGTTATGGTTTTTGTTTTGTTTTGTTTTTAACTCAGCACCATCTGCTCCAAGATCTCCACAGGCTTAGGGCTTTCCCCCAAGTCCCTCATTCTAATGAGTGCCCATATCTAGAAGAGCGAATTCACTCTGGGCAAGTGACAGATGTGTACTATGGAAAATACAGTCAGTCAGCTATCAACCCGGTCGGTCTGTGACCATTTATGTCACCTCAGCAGGGTGAAGAGCCTAGCTCTCTGCTATGCAAAATAATAGCCTGACTTGCAAGACTTGGCCGCCCTGTATCAGACAAAGGCCTGCAAAGAGTTTGAAGTAAAGAAGTTAGTGATAGTAGCGGAAGCTAGAATGCACGGCTGGGATCGATGCCCACGTGAAGGCGCGGACGCGATGCACCATGGGAAGCCGAGTTTCCTTTGATAAAGCTCTGCCTTGAGAATCGGCGCAGTCCTGAGCGAATGTGCATGGTGCAATTAGAGGGACACTTTGATGGGAACAAAGCTGCTTGTGTAAGTGTGTGTGGTGGTGGGGTGCCCAGCTCTCTTCAGCAGAGTCCGGAAATTCATTCTGTAACAATGAACTGTAATTCCAAGTCAATGACACCTTCTAAATCCTCTCAGACTCTGCCCAAAATTATAGAGGAGGGATGGCGAGTCAATTCCGTTCAGTCAGAACTGGATAGCTGTGTACTTTACTCAAATGTCTGGGATCTAATGGAGATGGGCCGGCAGCCAGGAGCAAAGCGAGTCAATACAGGACTTGGAAGAACGCGGCTGCTGGGGGCAGATAATGAGGAAAGGGTTGGGATTTGAAAGCATGACCTCGGAGTCTTCCTGTGTAATGAACACGGCATAATGGAGGCCTGAGGCCTGATCCCGGGTGCACCTGTGTCTGAGCCAGCCGGCCAGCAGCCTGACTGTATCCTCGACAACGTGGTGAGCCCGGGGGGAACCTGAAGGCTTTCAGACTGCCTTGTCTGTGCAGTGAACAGAGAAGGAAACAAGTCATTTCCTCTATGGGAGATAGGCATGGGTCTTAGCGGTCAAGGACTTGAACTTGGTTTAGAGACCTAGTGCCCACCTAGTGCCCCGTTTGCTAACTGTACAGACCTGAGCTCTTTTACGCTGGAGTCTTCGGTTGATCTGTAAAGTGGGGGAAGGAAATTATAGCACTTATCCTACAGGGTTATTATGAGGACTGGGTAAGACAAGGGATTTAAAAAGCACTTTACAGTGTATAGGCACTACACTTGAGTACTTGACAAATATATCTGTTACTAAGGAATATGGTCATGGGGTTGGGGTAACAGGCCCTGTGCTTGTTCACCAGTGCCAAGGGGAGTTGGGGGAGGGAAGAGTGGCCCAGATGACTGAGGGGTAAGGGTGCTTGCTGCCAGGCCTCATAACCTGTGTTCAGTCTCAGGGACCCACGTGGTAGAAGGAGAGAACTGAACCCAGAAAGTTGTCCTCTGGCTACATGGGCACCACAACACATTGCACACATATATGTATGTGTATACACACACACAAACGGATATAATAAAAGTTGGAAAAAAGGGGAAATGGCCACTATATTGATGGTTTGTCTTGTTCCTGTGACAGGACCTACCCACAGAAGCGACTTCAGGAAGGGGTTGTGTGGACTCACAGTGTGAGGTACATTCACCGTGGCGGGGAAGATATGGTGGTAGGATGACGTGGCTGAGTGCAGTGAGGAAGCAGAGATGGTTGCTGGGGTTAGAACTTGTGTTTTCCTTTAAGTGGTGCTGCCCATGGCTCTTTCCACTCTCAATTAATACAGGCTGATATTCCCTCACAGACATGCCCAGAAGCTCCCAGAAGCTGGCCTCCTAGGTGGTTCTGGATTTCTGTCAATTACCACTGTTAAAATATAATGATAACTATGTTTTAATTTGTCCGTCTATGCGTTCTGGACATGGCTTCTTCTACTTTGTTCTCCACTGGTAACCTCGGAAAGGATATAGAATGAACAGGTCTTTAGAACAAGACGCTCACAACCTTGACCTTGAAATCCAGACTCACATAGCCTCAAAAGGCAGTTTTTCTGAAGTTGAAGTGGTTTTCTGGCTGCAGAGGGACCGTGATATTTGATTTTCTCCCTTACAGAACCTTGAATATCTCAAAGGAATGCTTCTTCCGGGCTGACATGCTGTGAGTCACCCAGGAGACCATCTCTCTAGCAAGTGATGCTTCTGCTCCTTGTTCTGAGACCACATTTTAATTCAGAATGACCTTGAGCCTCTGTGGTAGCTTGACTGAGATAGACTTCTTCACTTCCTTGAAAAGACTCAGCTAGTTTGGGGATGTCAGGCACTTCACTTGTTTGGTAGCCTATGTTTCCTGATGGTAGGGATGAGGGTGTGGTGTCCTTTTGTGGAGTTGACACTTTCCAGAAGGTTGGACACGCCTTCATGAAGCTGGAGAAGCAGTGAATTCTCCTTGGATCTCCGTGGCATGCTGTATTCCCTCACCTGTCTGTGTGGAGGGTATGTATAAATATCCTCCCAGTCATA